ATTGGAGATAAATAATCGTGAATAACATTCACGTTTCTCCTGCTTTTTGCGCTATAGAAGTTATCTGCGAATGAAAGGGCAAGATATACATGTATTGTTGTGCTGTTATTGTTCGATTACAGGTTGAAATAACTTCAAACCAGTTGTATCGCTGCGTTTCTTCATTGTTAGCTTTGTTATAGAATGAACAAAAGTGAAATGTGTATCCCAGAATGTTATTCAAGAACTTTTCATTCAGTAGAAATGTCTGAGAAGTTAAAGTGATAATTCTGTTATATGCAGTTGACAGACTAAGCAGATAAAGTTTATAGATGACATCATGACATATTTGTGAAAAAAGCAACAATATGTATGTTGCAAGATTTTAAAATGAAATACAAAACTTTTGCCTCATCATTACTTATTGTTATCACGAACAAAAAAATTTAATTTCGACTTTCAGGATGACTACTCATCAACAAGTAAGCAGATGCATAAATCGAAAAAGAAAAAAAAAGCGCAGAAAGAAGGTGCCGACAACTCAAACCAGCATATAATAATCACGTTGGATGCTACAGACGCGACTCGTCCTACAAGTATAAACCAAGAAGAAATTAACACGCAAAGTGATCATGTAGCAATGTTGTATCAAGATCATGATGCACAGTATGAACGAAAAATCATGCACGAAGACAGCAAGATTGAAAGTGGAATATTATACACACTTGACAGAGTAAAAGCAGATTTGAGTGAAGAACAATCTGATGACAATCAAAGTCAAACAGTAGAAGTAATGGAGGATGGTCGTGTTGCGACTAATCAACAGATGAGTGAAAGGTATCAAGTTTTAGGAAATATCCTCTTAGACGAAATGCAACAAGCTCTCAATGAACTGAATAATAGTGATACGGGTTTTGCTCCAATTGTTGAGTATGCTGAGGAGCCTTTGTTGCCACTTGCTGAAGCATGTGATCCATTAATTGATATTCTTTATAATTTATCAGCCTATGTGCAGCTGGCGCTAGACGAAACTCCTGAGAACCCATCCGATGGGTTGACAATTGATGAGAGTGCCGCGATTCGTCTGTACACGATCGAATGGGAAAGACCACATCGAAGCCTGTATTCAATGCTCAATTACACTCTAAAGAACGGTAATCGCGAAGAGCTTCGGCCTTATTTTAAGTATCTAAAATTATTCTTGAGCGCACTGGTCAAAATTCCGTGTGTCCCACCTTTGACTGTATGGCGAGGAGTTACAAAAGATTTGAGCGCAGAATTTTCGCCTGGTACTTCTGTGACATGGTGGTCATTTTCTTCTTGCACGACATCACTGACTGTGTTGGAAAATAACATGTATTTGGGCACTGCTGGAGCGAGAACACTATTTTCTGTTGAAGCCATTAATGGACGAATAGTACGTGCTCATTCTCATTTCGTTACAGAAGAAGAAATTCTTCTTCTGCCTGGTACTCATATGATAGTACAATCACAATTGAGTCCAGCACCTGATCTTTATATCATTCACTTGAAACAAATCATACCGGAGCAAACCTTACTTGCGCCTCCTTTCGAAGGTAACCTCTAAGATTTCAGTTTAGTATTCGAAATGTCAGATTTTATCTTTTTAGGTGCACATCTATATCCGGAACCTAAGTGAGTTTCAATTTATGTTCGTTTAAAGGCGTTGTTTGCTATGAAGACTTGTAATTGTATTTTGCAGACGTTCTTGGTATAAAAAGAAGCGATTTTTGGTTCCTCTGTCTTTGTTCATAATTCTATCTATCGGAGCAATCATTATCGGTTCTGTTCTTGGCTCACGAAAACAAGCTAATACATCAAGTATGCTTTTTCTCCAATGCTGCTTTCATGTTCAAATTCAAGATGTATACAAAAACCCTCTACTGCTTGAATTACATCGGCTTCACTTTCTTTTGTCAATTTCTGTCAATAATCCTAGTATCATAAAAACTGTTATTTTTCATAGAAATACGTTACTACGTCGTTGATATCAGCATCCTGGAAAACATTTTTTTCTTCACATCCTGTAAGGAAAACTTGACATATAACTCCTACTACATCATTCTGACTTATTAATCCTCTGAGCTTATAACAGACAGTGAGCTTCTGAATAATTTAATGAACGACATTGATGTCGCATCTAGGAATGGTGCAATTAAGTTAAGTTGACATTAGCACTAATCCCAGATTATGGACGTCAAGTTATTGATGTAGTTGCTATAATAATAGCAAGAACTGTGCATGCATGCACCTTAAATAAATCAAAATAACAAATCCACTTTTGCCTCCTGGAAAAATTCAAATTTCAAGTTGAAGCAAAGACTGATAGCTCGGAGTACTAGAAAAAGCTGTTTCTCTCTCCTCTCTTCTATCGAGCTGATGTAATTTTTTTTCTTATTTTGCGCTGATACTTTTGATACACATGGAAATAAGCAAATCCTATTCGCAAGCACTAGTTTATCACAAACGGCACTCTGAAACTCCGGCCCCTGCTCCTGTACTCTTGACTGGATCGACAGTGCTGTTTCTACCATGATTTGATTTACAGTTTGCCTTGGGAAAATATTCTTTTCGGATTAGAAGAGCTCAAGGAATGCATAAACACAGTTCATGAGATGTGTCAAATGATGTGAGCAATATAACTTTAGAGCCAAACTCTTCATAATAAATAAAAACATTTTGCGAAGATACTCTGTAAGGGTATGTGGATGTTGGTGCTGGAGAGGGCTGCTTCCTCATACACTTACATCTACCTTGGTTGTGTAGATGAGTGTAAACGCATGTGCTTGCACCAGAATGACTGATGATATGTATCATTACAAGTGCAGCTGCACGACAATATTAGTGAGAGTGCAGGTCTCAGTAGAAGCACGGCTTGAAGTTTCCATGCATGTGGGTAAGATGAAAACTCCAATTGACACATACATAGACAACTGATTACCAACGGACACCGATGTCCAATTCCCTGAACTTGCACACACCCGCACTAACAGGTTCCCAATCGACAATAGAACCAGTAGTCAATTTCCCTACTTTTGTGTTACCTCACCGTTCAACGGCTGTACTGTGGCATGTTAAATTGAACACCACGCGAAAATGAGAATGAGAGCTATCAATAACTTTGAGTCTTGTTGTTTTAGTATATCAATGCAGTGATCCATATCCATCACCACAGATTTCTGACACTGGAAAATTACCAGTTACTATAGTGTTTGGAGGTTTCACAAATATCAATCAAGTTGATTTAGCATTGCTCAACTATGACGATCAAAGCGTCGATATACTTCTAGGTAATGGTAAAAATGATTATGAGACTGAATTACATTATAAGACAGATTTTGCACCAAGTTCTGTATTCAACATTGATCTGAATCATGATGGATCCATGGATATTATTGTAACGAATGCGGAGGCTGAAACCATTAGCGTCTTGCTTGGTAATCCAGACAAAACATTTCAGACTTCGATCGAATATTTTGTTGGCAACAATCCGATGTCAGTGACAGGAGGTTATTTCAACAATGATACGCAGATCGATATATTAGTAGCAAACTATGATGATGACATGGTTAGCTTAGTGTTGGGTGATGAAGAAGGTACATTTTCTGATATTCAAATAGCCTACGATGTTGGCTCGCAACCTATCTATGTCATAGCAGGCGATTTTAATAAGGACGGAAAACTCGATTGGGCAGTTATTAATCAAGGTGATAACACCGTCAGTATAGCAGTTGCATATGGAGATGGGACTTTTGAGGATCTAAAGAGTTATAGCGTTGGTGCAACACCAGTCTCTATGACATATCATGATTTCAACGATGATGATAAGATAGATTTGGCAGTGGCCAACTATGGTGATAATAGTGTTAGTGTACTGTTCGGCAATGGGGATGGGACATTTCAGGCTCAAATCGTTTACGAAGTTGGTATGAGTCCAAGTGCTGTAGTGGCAGCTGATTTCAATCATGATAGCCATATAGATTTAGCATTAAGCCTTTCGAATGAATCTTCCATCGGCGTGCTGTATGGCAATGGTAGTGGAAGCTTTCACAGACCTTTAAAGTATAAGGTTGGTACTTCTCCAAGTGCTATGAGAGCAGATGATTTTAACAACGATAGTAGAGTTGATCTAGTAGTAGCCAATTCTGGAGAAAATACCTTCAGTATATTGATTAATGGTGCGAATGGTACATTTCAAAATCAAATTAAATATGCCACTGGTGCGAATCCAGTGGCGATAACTTCAGCTGATTTTGATAGCGATAAAATTATCGATGTCTTGGTGGTCAATAAGGGAGCTGATAGTGTCGCTTTATTTATATGCAATGGAGATGGAACCTGTCGTGGTCGAATGCCGTACAAGCTTCAGAAGAAAGCCAATTGGATGGCAACAGGTGATTTCAATAATGACACCAAATTGGATTTGATACTGACTAATTCAGTCGATCATAGTATTACCATACTGCTTGGTAATGGATATGGTATCTTCCAATCTGAATTAGTACATAAGATTTACTCCTTGCCACACTTCGTAGTAGTCCATGATTTGAATAATGACATGATGCTGGATCTGGTTATTGTCAATTATCACACGGACAGCATCACTGTAATGCTGGGTAATGGAGATGGAACGTTTCAAAATGGAACACAGTTTGCGACTGCTAAGCGACCAAGTTCTGTAGTCGTGGGTGATTTTAATAACGATAACAAATCGGATCTAGCAGTCACCAACTTAGGTTCTCAGAATATTAGCGTTCTATTAGGATATGGAAACGGTGATTTTCAGACTCATAAAACATTTAAATGTGGTGCTAGCCCGAACTTTGTAATATCAGTTGATTTAAATCGTGATCAGATCATGGATCTCGTAGTGGCCAATCTAGGTGATCATAGTATTAGTATTTTATTGGGCTGGAGAAATGGAACGTTTCAAGCTCAAAAGAAATACGATGTTGATAGGGAACCAAGTCATGTCATGTCAGGCGATTTTAATAATGACAACAAAATGGATATAGCAGTTGTCGGTCGACTTTCGCATAATATGCAAGTGCTGTTTGGTGATGGTAGTATGACATTTCCAAGCCGAAAACGATATGGAACCAGTAGTAGTCCAGGTCCTGCGGTAGCCTACGATTTCAACAAAGATGGAAAGACTGATATTGCTGTATTGAACAAACTTTCTAGTGTATTATATATTTTCCTAAACGAATGTTCATAAATATTCGACAAACATTTTATTTACAGTTATATCGATTCATTATTCATGCTAAATATCATGTAGCTATGAATTATGTCATTGTAAAATATTTCTTTTTCGTCTTAATACATTCAGCTCTAATTTTCTATTATAGTTTCATTGTAGTTCTTGTTACTTATAAATGTCAATAGCTAGTGGACATAGACGACAACTTGAGCTAACAAATGAATTGCGGAGCACATGCGCCGTTCGAAGGACTCGACACACGGACCTTCTGCTATATAGACACTGACTTCGAGCCAATCGAACTAAAAAATGCATCTATATGATCCCTTTTGGAAATGAAAGCTATTCACATTGACATACTATTAATAGTATGCTGCTTTTTTTGACATGATAGTACAACTGACTGAAGTTTATAGTAAACAGAGCCACATCTTAAGAATAAATGGTAAAGATGTGGCTTGAGAACAATGCATTCTTGAAGACTTACACTATTTAGTAACATAGCCTCTAATTCTTACAAGGGTGAACTCATCGGTAGAATCGTTAGCGTTCAATCAGAACTCGATTAGCTTGATGCATGTTTGATGTGCTGGAAATGTTATTCAATTGCTGCAAGTATAGACATCATCCCTCGTAGTTGTATCATAAAAAATGTCGAGAAAAAAGTGTCTACCATCGTCGAACATGTTTTGTGGAAACTCTCTTTGTAAATCATCCTAATATTAAGAGAGGACCCTCTTGCTTCCAGATCGTCGGTTTTTTGTGAAACTTCAATTTTGAAAAAATTCAATAACCTCATAGCTTTAATTGTTCTCTTTCAGAATATCTATAAACTATATATGAATGGAACATAATTAGCTCAATTTTGGGGAATTTATGCAAAACCATAGATAGGAAAATACGAATTTTATAAGCTCTTCCTTGGTTACCATGAATGAATCAAATTTCCTGTTATTTCTCAAACACTTTAGAACGATCCGTATTGAAAATGCATGCTCTGAACTTGTTGAAATGGTTTTACAAAGTTTTCCTTGGGTTTTTGAAGTCTCTTTCGTAAAATGAAAATTTGATGAAAATAAGAGTGAGCCATTGTTATGCTTCAGCGCACGAAGTAGACATGCGAAATTATCAACTGGATAGCGGAATATTAGTATTGATCTTTACGGGAGATAGATAAACTTAATTACATAAGGGTAATTTTGAATAAGTGTGAGTTAATCTTCAAACTTAACTTGTCATATTGATATACACGGACAGGTTTTATATGAGGCTGCCTATTTTAAGACTTCTTAACATGTAAATATTTTCAGAATTGCATGACGCTTGTATTCAGCAAAATCTCGACAATAGAGCCGAAATTTTCTGATATTTTATAATGCAACCATAAACTGGATATTACCAGCTATTACGATTTTATGAGAGTCGGTGATGAGTACTCTAGAAAGTGTGTGTTTGATATTTCGAAATGAAAAATTTTTAGTCATACCGAAATTAACTTCTGATACCTGTATAGCTTTTCATGAGCACAATAAATTCATTCAGCATCATTCGAGACCCTCATTGTATGATGAGAATGTATTAACGCAATATTTAGAGCTGGAGTTTAGACTACGATTAGAGTTTTGTCGATTGAAAACTTCCATGTTCATATCACTTGATCATTAAAACTATGGAAATTATTAAAAATCAGCAAGATAGACTACCTTGAGTGTTCCGAAAAACCTGGTAGAAACCGGCTCGGACAAATGACCGATAGACCGGCTGAACCGATTCTAAATACGTCATTACTTTGTCTTACGAAGTTTTTATCGGACTATTCCTAAAGTTGCCATGATTGAGAGGATCTAAACATGATGCATAGCATAATTGTATCACGGTAGAACTGTGCAAGATGAACTTTTCTCTTACCTTATGGTGTGACCGAGAAAAACTTTCAAACCTGTACGCTAAACCATCCGGGATGTCTCTACTCTAGATGATTAACAAATAAGATGTTGTAAGAAAATTCCATCAACATAGAATAGTAGAAAAATTGAGCCACCAAAAAAAGTAAGCAAACCGAGATTCTATGTGTAAACGTAAATTGAATGTTCCACGCCAGACTTAGATTGTTAAAGATACAAATTTAAAAATTGTTTCTTTTTGTCTTCGGGATTGTAGAGAAAAAGTGATAAAGTTGGGTACACTATTAGATTGAAGATGATTTTAGATTGGTAAGAATTTTCGATGAAGGATTGCCGTTCATTTTCAATAAAGGATCTTTAATACAGACTATGGAAAATGGCAATTGGATTATTTTGGATAACAGTAATTGTGCATGTGGAAATGTTGTTGAAGACCTCAATCCATTAGCTGAAGCCGAACCAACATTAACATTATATAAATCAGCAACATCTCGGCAATATTGTCACGATAACGGGAATACACAAAGTTTTCGCTTGTTTGTGAGTGTGGGTGACTTAAGAATACACTGACACTTGCACCCACACCCAAAATCAAGTTATGAATGTTCATGTGTGTGATTATCATCGTAATCAATTGCTAATATTAATCTTAAATGCTATTTGGTCTACCATTTATTGGCATAAACAAACACGAAAAACTTCTTTGATTCCTTTTTAATGCCGTTGCTTAGTTGTTCAATATAGGTTTATTTCCATTTTCATATGGAACAGACATCAACCAGAAGTTTATTTCGTAAATGATTCGATTCTATGTTTATTATTTTTTTCTATTATTCATCTGTTCAGGTCTTTCATCAACACGTGCACAAACAAAAATGTGTCTGCGAAGAAAAAACTTGTCGAACATCGCTTGGGTTACAAATCTCATGCACTATCACATTAGGTTGTTTAACTTTGTGACAAAATATTCTTGTAAATTATGAGACAGATGATCAATCGAAACTCGATCATTTATGATTCTAGATTTTATTTTCATTTATTGTACATATGACCTTACGATGTATAATCTCTGTTAACTAAATTTTTTAAATCCTTCTCCCTCTCAAGAATAAAAGCCCACCCTCACGACTATAATTGTTCGAACGCAATAAAAGTCCATTGAGTTCAAAATGTGTACATGTAGAGAAATTAAGCACTCGATTAATTTGGTCGATAATTTTCACTGTTTTAGATAAAATGATCATATACTCGTCGATTTTATTCTTTCACTCTGTAATGCTTTTTCTTATTAGGTTGATTAGCTTCGCGCATCACCGACGCTCTGTCAATAATTCTTCTGTTAAACAATGTTTTTTTTTCTTCTCTGTATTCTAATTTGTGATATATAGACGAGTGTCTCATACAGGAAGCAAGTCAAAAGTGGCCCTCAATCTTTGAAAATTTCTTTTTTTACTCGACAATTTATAAAAATTTTTAAGAAACTTTTTAAAAAGTTTTTCGATAATTTCTTTGAAAATTTCCATAATTTGCAAACATTTTAGAAAAAAAAAACAAAAAATACTAGAATATTTTCAATAAAAATCGTCGATATCGTTAAGTCTTGCCACTTCAACACAACCATGGATGTATAAATTCATATTGACGTTTTAAGGTCTCTCAAAAAAGGCACTTTTTGTCAGAATAAACGAAATAAAAATTAATGCATGGGAAGATAGGTCGTGCTATTTTTTTTCATAAGCAACAAAATGTTTACTCAGCACCTCGTTTTTTACAAAAATTTTTCAAGATTTCTGTCATCCCCTATTCAAAGATAGACTGCATTCAGAAAACGCAAAACATTTTTCGTTTTTTCTGCGTTTATGTTTTCTTGATCGTGCAACCCAAATTTCTCTGATAATACTCATTCTATATATTGAACTTTTTTCGCTTGAGAAAACACGTCAAGATGCAGTACAGTACAGAGCCCTTTCGTTTGATTAAACTTTGCGTTTACTATATGTACGAACATTTATATAAATAGAGAGCCGTATTGGAAATTTTTTTGAGTCATTTAATTTTCGATCTCTGTTCTCCCGTTAAAAAGAAGAGTTTAAAAAGAAGAGCACTTGATTGCATTGCATCCTGACATGCTCTTTCAAACAAAAAGAAATTAAATATATAAAATGAACGTGAACAGAGAAATTAGGTTTATCAAATACGCTATTTTTCACCTTTGTTTGACCAATATCGTCTTCAAATGTTATCATATTTGACTGTAAATTTGACCATAGCTTTTCGACTCCAGCCCTAGCATATGTTGAAAATGTCATACCATTTGAATGCTTCTGGACTGAGATCAGTTTTTAAGGAGGTCTTAATACATTTCCTACAATGCTAGTGCGCTTTTGTCGAGAATGGTTTTTCATATTTTACTGTGGAAGACGAAAAAAAGTGGGTTGAAATAGAAGCCCACCTTCAAACGTATAATTTTCAAAATTAATAGAAGCTCAATGGGCTTTTACTTTGGGGAGGAGGAGAGGGGCTTATTGAAAGATTTGGTAAGAAGAAAAACAATAAATCAATAAATGTAACCATATTTACAATAAAATGGACGATTGAATAAAAAAATACATCTAGATTTCAATAATTTACAATACATGTATAATATAAATGACCAGTAAACACGATAATCATGCCCATCTTCTAGAAAATGTTCTCAATATTTTTTATTTAAATATATAACTATTATTTGAAGTAATATATTTAAACCATAACCGGGGCATATGAGTTTGTTAGATAATATATAATGTTTAAGCTGAGAAAGTTTGGCTAGTTAATTTAACTATATTAATCACATATAATTTAGATTTTTTGTCAAAGCACATTCATAAAAATAACTTTATTCATAACAATATAATAGAAATGTGAAAGTCAAATAATTGTCCATAAAAAAGAAAACCTTTAATATAAAGAAACATGATTGCTAAACCTTATTCTTAGATTTGAACAATATATTTCAATTCAATTTAATTCAATGGTACACTTTTTTTTTATTCAGTAACTTTATTGTTTCATGTTAAATTTCTATTAATCAACTTACATAACATGAAGATATCACATTTTCATTTGATA